TGCCGTTTGAAGTATCCTACAGTATTCAAGACATCCTCTGGGACTTCGTCTCTAGATGTGATTTCAAGGGGCATGGGCTTCCCCATGGGTCCTCTCCGTCCCATAAGAATGTCTCGAATACCCTAAAGCATCTTTGATGGCACTCAGTATGTACGTGTATGCAACGGAACCAAGCCCCTGGTTTCTGAGTTCAGATTCCAGTTAGATAAGTAGAAGTAGATGCCATCACCCTGCTGCGATGCTTTTTCAGATTATCTGCATATCAGAGAAAAGAGCACTGCATTAGACCACGTGCCAAAGGTCATCTTTGCAATTACAAGCCCATTGTTAGGAGTTAATCATGATAACTACTGGAAAAGGGCATCATCAAAGAGCCTTTAAAATGTGGACAATTTGACCTTGATTATAACATTTTTATTCCTGTGTTACGTGGCTTCCTGAAGCTCTGCACATTAAGACACCATTGTCTGATTTTTGCAAAAGAAACAGTAGTCAGCGAGAGAGAAGGTAAATGTTTTCTGTGCCTTCATCTTCCAAATACAATTTCCAACTGAACCAGAAGAGAAGATTTTTCTTCTGTGACTGTGTAGCAGATGAGGTCAAAGAGATTTATATTTAAATGGTCTCTGGAATGGAATACTGATGCTGCTGTAAGGAAGGTGAATCAATAACCCTTGGAAAATAATCTCTTAGGAGAATGAACAATAATACAATCATGCAGATACATGTATAGTGGGTAATAAAACAAAATTTTAAAAGTGTAATACATATCATGCAAATTGAACATTTAAGAGGGTAACTTAGCACCCTTTTGTAAATGCTTCTTTTAACCATATTTTGTAATAGATTATTTGCCTGCTGGAGTTTAATGGAAAACGAAATATTGAATCTTTTTAATATTCAACAGGATCTTGTTGATTCTGGCAAAGCAAACAAAGCACACACACATCCCAAACTGCAGTAACAAACAAAAGAGTGCAGTAAGTTATCTTCAAAAAGCAGCTGAGCTGACAATGCTTATAAAACAATACAGGCAACAGGAAAATGTAACATTAAGATCTTAAATACTTTCATGTTTCTTCCCTTCCAAGTTAACCCGTAAAAGCTAGTTGGTTCCATCTGCAATATTTAAATGACTTTTAAGAAAATGTTATCTTGTTTCTAGAAATACTTTGCAGGTAAAGCAAGGCTGTTAGGGCACTTTGCAAACAGAAATTAGATGGATTCCTGATCCTGCAAACTACTAAGCACTTCTTCCAAGAGGAATCGCTTAATATTTCCCAGGCTTTGCTCAAGATCATACTTAATTAAACTTTTGCTAATAAACATGAAGAGCTCAGTTTAGCCCCATTGCTGGACTCCATTGGCAAAGCGGTTGTTCAGTCAAGCCTGCTTATCTGCATGTGTATTTATTTTTAGTCAATGCATGCATTGTTTGCACATGTATATAAATATTTTATAAAGATGTTAGAAACCCAAGATATGAAAAAAAGTTTTAATTACTTCACAATGTAAATGAAAATTGTTTCTTTAAAGGAAATGCTTTGTTCGTGTAGCTTGTTACGTTTGAAACTGAAATATTTCACAAACAAATGTATCTTTACTATGTTCTTATCTAGTGCATTTTATGCTTGAATGTTCTTAAATACAAAAGTATTAACTACAACTTTGTTCTTATTGAGAAGACAGGGTTAAGAATGTAAGTTGTAAATTTAGTCATAAAACTACAGTATCTTTCTCCTCTGTGCTGCTACTAAACACCAGGACA